TCTCTCTGTCCAGTGGACTTTCTGTTACTAGAGTGTAGAAATTTTTGAAAGTAGGCTTCAAGAGAAAAGGGAGATTGTCTTGAATTGAGCACATCATTCTGCCATTTTCTCCTGAGTCTTGGTCTCGTACACCGAAAACAGCGACGACCATCTCTGATACGCAGTTTTCTGGGATGGGGCTCATAAGAGATGTAAAGACTATTTCTGGTGGGTTGTCATTCACATCTATAACTTGAACAATAATGGCTGATTTTCCAGAGAGACTCCCACCATCAACAGCTTGAACATTTATTGTATAAGACTGAATCACCTCAAAATCTAGGAGTGCTTTCAAATGGACTTCACCAGAAACTGGATGGATTTTGAATGTTTCCCGTACATCTCTAGAGACACGAGAAAATGAATAAGATATTTCTCCATTTATCCCTGTGTCCAAATCTGTAGCAGACACCTTGATTACTAGTGAGCCCACATGGCTGTTCTCTGGTACTTGAACCTCATACAGCGTTCTTTCAAACTCAGGGGCATTGTCATTGACATCCACAACCACAACTTGAATCAGTGCAGTTGCTGACCTGGGCAGTGACCCACCATCCACAGCTGTTAGTATTAAGCTAATTGAAGGCTCCTTTTCTCTGTCCAGAGATCCATTCAGTACCAGCTCTGGGTATTTTCTTCCTTTACCACCATCTTTTAACTTAAGGTAGAAATAGGGGTTGGGGCTTATTGTATAATTTTGGACACCATTCATTCCTACATCTAAGTCCTGAGCATTATCCATTTGGAATGAGGTTCCTGGAGTAGCACCTTCTGAGATATTTAGAAATATGACTTTCTCTGGGAACGTGGGAGAATGGTCATTTATGTCTTCAACCAAAAGCTCAGCCTGAAAGAATTGCAAAGGATTTTCCAATAACACCTGGAAATGCAGTATACAGGGTTCACTGGTACCACAGAGTGCCTCCCTGTCCAGTTTTTCATTCAAGAGCAAGTTGCCAGTCTCAAGTTCTAACCACAAATAAGGCTGATAGTTATCAAATATAACTCTGGCCCCCCGTGCGGCCAGGTCACCCACACCCATGTCTTTAATTATGTTGGCTATAGAGGAGCCAGTCTCCATTTCTTCTGCCACAGAATAGCTCCAGGTCTCGGAAAGAACCGAGGACCCTTCCAGGAAAACAAAGAAAAGCAGCACTTGCCTTAGATGCTGAGCAGCCCTCACTCCTGACTCCATCGTTCCGTAGACAAGACACTTTCTGCTGTTCTGTTTCAACTCAGTCCCTGGCAGCTCAGAGAGCAGGCCCGCTCATCGGGACCTTCAGGAATTTATAGGCTTGCACTCCTTTCTGAAGGGTCTTGTCCTTGCCCTGCCTTTTCAGACAGCCTGTTTGCCGTTTTATCCGGTGCTTTCACTTCCGCTGGTTATGAGGCTACTGAGCCGCAGCTAGGAAACAGTCTCCCATCTTATCCTGCAGCGCCACCAAGTGACTGTACAGGTTGTCAGGTTTCAGACAAAGCCGAGTGAGTTTGAGATAAAATACTAATTTATCAGATGTATTTGTTAAGTAACCTAAATAATATTTTCTTCTTTAGTCCCCTTTCCATTTCTGAGTTGTAGCTTTTGTGATTAACGTAATGAGTTACTATCCGATAGAGCTGTACTGATGAAATGGTTTAAAATAGAATCCTTGTTTCAAACAGTTCATGGTTTCTCCTTGAAGACAACTGTAAAACTAATGATAGTTCAAAGGACTCCCATGTCATTGATTTTCAAAGATGAGCAAGAGATTCTTAGGAAAATTGAAACTGTAAACCTAGAGATCTCTTCTAGCCATTATTAAATGCTCTCAGAAAAGGCTGGATAGGTATGTTTAGGCACTTGAAGTTGCGTCTGGTATGTGCAAATAGTTGTTTGAGGGAAGTTGGATATTTTGGGCTAGGTAAATGGTACCATTTCCATAAGAATACTCCATAGTAGACGTATCTGGCTGCAGTAGAAAGTAAATACTCACTAGAGAATAGAGTATGATCTGTACAGGTTCTGACAACATAAAACTGTGAAACTGAATTTCACTATTTTGCCATCCAGGGCTTCCAAAGGCATGGTTCTAAGTATTTTATTTATCTATTCTCTGATTTGCTCAGTGAATTTTTATTAAACATGCTCTTGAGCTAGTGGTAATGTATTAGGGAATGAATGATAATCACAGAAGTTGCTTCTGCCATGAAAAATCAAGAAAAAAAGAACACTTAACATGAAAAATAATGGCTGTCTCCATGAGGAAGGCTCATGCTAATATAAGATCAAAGAGGAACTAACCAAAATTTGGAGGTGGAGAAAAGGCTTTCCTGGAGAAAGTGTATTCTAAACTGATACATGAAAAATGAGTGGAAATAATCTGAACAAAAATAATGTTTGGGAGGGCTGGAGGCGTAGCTCAGTGGTAAGAGAGTATATGTGAATCCCCAGTCTCCAGGAAAGTAAAAAACATGGTGCTGCAAATCTAAAATGAGTGGTGTGATTCAAAAGAACTGAAATAAGACCACGACAATGGCACAGAGCAAGAGGAATTTGGTGAAAGCTGAAACTGGAAAAGCAAAGAGTTTATTTTTCTTTTTCCCCCTTTTTGTTTTTTTTCTTTTTCTTTTATTTTATATTCTCTAAGCAAAGAGTTTGTAAGGAATGTCAATGGAAATGCAAGACTGTTAAAGTGTTCTGAACAGAAAAGTAATATAATCAAGGTTTTATTTTTTTAAAGATAAATATGCTTCAGAGTTGAGCATAAACTAGGAAGGAATAATATAAAAAATTAGACACAGATAAGAGCTGGTTGCAATAATAGTGGTAGGAGATGATACTGGCCTCAATTGAAAATGTAGTAATGCATTCGCACCCAAACTATGAGATAGGATGGGATGAAGTGATAGATCAGTCACATGAGGAGTGTTATAATAAGGAAAAATTACTTCACTTACAAGATTTAAAAATTGAATGATATTAGTGCTGTTAGCTGATAGTGGAACACAGGAAGGAAATAAGGAAGAGGGATAGGCATGAGCTGGAGGGAAATAAGTTTTCAGTTTAGGGGAAGGGGAAATTTTAACTTAAACACATCTAGGGTATTAAAAAGTTTAAGGTGACCACAGAACATCCCTGTAGTTAGACACATGATCTTCCATCATATAACTGAAGCTGAGGAAAGAAGTGAGCTTCAGTGACAAATTTGGGATTTGCTGACATAAAAGGTGTTTGAAACGCTCCAAGAAAAAGTAATAAAACACAACTTGAGGATGCTTGAATTTCTGATTTGGGGGGCGGGGATGTAGCGCAGTGGCACAACACTTCCTTTGCATATACAAAGGACTTTTATTCGTACTTGTGCTCATTTCTGGAGAGTCCTGTTTTTTTTTGGGGGGGGGCAAGGAAGAGAGGAGAGAAAACACAGCCATGAGAGACTACCATTTCCAGAAGGTTCTCGTGGTCATATGTTGACATTCTAGACTAGAAATGAATGTGGAATCAGGCATAATGATACACACTCATAATTCCTGCACTCTGTAAGCTGAGGCATGGGAATTACCAGTTTCAACCCAGTCTGGACCACTGTGAGACTTTATCAGGAGAGGAGGAGAAAAAGAATGTGGCTAGAGGCTAGAAACAGAGACAGGTCAAACTCCTAGACCACATCTGTGGTAAGGTATGCGTCAATAAAGAGAAAATGTATTTATACCACTTCTTCCCTGTGGTCTTTATTAATTAAAACTAAAATGATATCAAGTTTGTTCGATTTCCTCCTTTGACAACTCTATAAAAAGACCAGGTGGAATGGTTTATGAACCTCTGTCAGGAAAGGAGATTTCTCATTTCCCTTGCTTCTACTGAGAAACACGGATCAATTAGGACAACATCTGTGTTGAAGTTAAATTTCTCTTTCTTGTGTTTTTTAATTAAAATTTCTCTTTTTCTTTAGTTTTCTGAAATTTCACTGTGATGTTTATAGACACGAGCATCTCTGTAATGTATCCTTTTAGATTTACAGCTATCTCTTAGATTTGTTTGCTGATGTTTCATTAGTTCTAGAAGTCCTCCAGTCTTTAGTTCTTCAAATACTGTTCTGGTTGAAATTTGCTCATCGGTCTTGGTGGGCAGTGGTGGTGTACATCTTTAACCCCAGCACTCAGGAGGCTGAGGCAGGCAGATCTCTGAGTTCAAGGCCACCTGGTCTATAGAGCAGGTTCCAGGATGCCAGGTCTTCACAGAGAAACCCTGTCTTTAAAACTAAAACAAACAAACAAAAACTCATCTCTCCATTTGTATGTCTGCTAAAACTTTTACTCTGTCCTATGTTTTTAATAATATCCTCTTGTGTTTTCATTGTATTAACTTTTGAGTTACATAATGTATGAATTGTATTCCTACATATTTTATGCAACTAAATATTTTGCTGTGTTTTTTATTGTCTTTTATTCTGTTTTAAAATTTGACTTTTGATTAATGTGTTTTTCATTATGGAAGCTTAATTTTGTCCTTCGTATTAGTGTTGATGTGTCGGCGTGTGGATATGTGCATTCGTGAATGCAGGTGCTGGCAGAGGTCAGAAGAGGGAGTCAGTTTCCCCAGAGCAAGACTTAACAGTTGAGCAGCCAGGCATGGGTAGTGGAAATGGAATTCCCACTCTTAATACCTGAACCAATCTCTCTATCCACCCACCTGTCATATCTTACAGGTTTTTTTGTTACCTGTACCTTTTCAAGTTTAACTTCTATTTTAACAAACATGTTTAGTATGTTGTGGATTGCTTGATAACAATAATAATTGTACATTTTGGATTGTCTGATAATGATAATAATTTTACATTCTTTCAAGTTATTCTAGGATTGTTTCGTTTCCTGCTGGCTCTCATTCATGGTTTCATGTTTCCTAGGGTACACAGTTGTCAAGTAAAGAGTATTAAAAATGCAAAGCAATAGGGTGAGTAATCTATGATCAGGGCATCATTTATTTTACATAAACCTGCATTTGATTTGACCAGCACCTAAGATTACTGCCTATCAGTGATAGCTAATTAAACTTAAGGCTAAAATGTCAAGTTCAAGGCTAAAATGCCACACAAGGGCTGATGCATTTCCAATTTACTCTTAGTTCACAAAAAGTTGCTCTGAAGGTTCATGCTGACTAATGGGAAGGACTTGTGTAAATCACCCGGTTTGTTAAGAGTTTGATTTCCATTATACAAATCATTGACATCAAGGTCTGAATTTCCAAGATTCTAAATGGCCTCAGGAAAATACACACTTTGTAATTACCTTTTCTCTACATTTCAACATTAAATTTGAGTGGATAATATATTGTGTTTTTGTTTGTTTGTTTGGTTTTTTGAGACAAGGTTTATCTGTGTAGTCCTGGCTGCCATTTTATCCTGGCTGCCATGGAACTCATATCTGTAGACCAGGTTGGCCTCCAATTTACAGAGATCTGCCTGCCTCTGCCTCCCAAGTGCTGGGATTAAAGGTGTGCACCACCACTGCCCAGTATATATACTAGTGTCTTAATAGCTAATTGCTTCCTGTGAAAACAGAGGCCAACATAATGCTAGCCATATAGTCACACTGCATTGTAGCTATCTGTCTATACTCCTCCACTGAACTGTCTATCTATCGAATTGAGACCTTATAGTTTGAAATATAATTAGGCATTTATCAATCATAAATACAGATCTATTATTTGTGGCTATCTGAGAGAGACCACAAGTATTAATAATATTTTAAAGTTATTTTTTCGTGCATGCTGAAAATTGAACTTTGGGCATCTAAAGTGCTCAGGGTGCACATATTCCTGTATTTACTCTTTTCTGCTGGGAGTTGAGAGCCAAGCCAAAATTTTGTACCTACCTGCTAGGTCCACACAACTAGACATTATATTTACACCTTTCATTCTTCTTTTTAAGATCATAGGGGTTCCTTTTGAAACAGGGCCTTGGTCTGTAGCAGAGACTGGTCTTGAATGCATTGCATAAGCATGGTTGTCCTTCCATATCGTGTCCATAGCATGTCATAAGTCCTGTCAAATTATGACAGCCTCCTGCCTCAGTGTCTCAAGTGCGAGGATTCCGATCCTAATTCTGTTTCTTTTTAATTTTGGGGCCTGTGTCTGACAGAACTCAGCCTGGCTTCCCACTCAGTCTCTCATATGCCTCGGTTATAGGAATATGCCAGCATATCAGGTTCTGTTTCCTTTTTAATTTCTTTTTAAGGAAAACTCCTACTATGCAGTCCAAACCAATCTTGAGTTGATTATTCTCTGTCCCCAGTTGCCTGAGTGCTGAGATTACAGATTTGTGCATCCACGCTTAGCTTATATTTACTTTTATTAATGGTTAGGAAAAGTAAATCCAAATCTTTTAAACAGTTTAAAATATTTATTTCAGGGCCTGGAGAGGTGGCTCAGCACTTAAGATCACTGGCTGCTCTTACAGAGGACCCAGATTCAATTCCCAGAACCCACTTGGCAGCTCACAACCTGTAATTCCAGTTCCAGGGGATCCGACACTCTCACAGAGACATACATGCAGGCAAAACACCAATTCACATAAAATAAAGAATAAGTCATTTAAAGATCTTTATTTTAATTCCTAGCAAGTTTTTATCCTGTTCTTTTCTGGTAAAAGACTATTTTAATTAGAACAAGATTATGATCTTATTACCTGCTTTAAGCAGATATAGAGTACCACAAATTTTAACCAAGCAAACGGTCTATTTAAAACCAAGAAAACAGCAGTATCAAGACCTAGAATATTTTGAGAATTAGAAAGCATCATTAGAAAATAGGTAAGGAAAAACTACTTAAGCAGTCAGTATTTAATGCAGGTCACAAGAACAGAAATCAGTTCTTGAAAACATAAGGACACAAAGGCCTCTGGGACTGGACATGGAGGGGCAGCATTTTAAAAAATCTTTTATGACGAAATAATCTAACAGAGACTACTACAAATGATACAATATAATTTCTACCCAGATGCAGCGACATTTAAAATCTCTGCTTGCTGGGTTTTAATAGTGTATTGGAACAATTCCGGTATACGGTGACATTTGCCCCTTTTAGTTCCCTCCTCCTCTTCTTCCCTCCCTTTCTTTTGTTGGAGATCATCCACCCAGAGCTGCCTGCTTGTGGACTCTACCAGGTACAGTAACCACCAGCTCAACGCATTTACTCTAAATACTTTAGTTAGTATTTCCATTTCTGAGTCTTGCATAACAAACAGCAGAACCGTTAACATAAAACTTCAAAATAAATGAAACAAATGGTGCAGATTGTTTCGTCACATCACTAGAGCCCCATAGCAACTGTGAGAAAAACATGTAAAATGAAAATGCATGCAACACCAGTAAAACCTAAAATCCATTGCACATCAAGAAAAAAAAAAGCATCTGCAATTTTTCAGTAAGAGGAAAATATTAAGAGTTTATAGGAGATTTTTTTTATTGAATATTAAATCCAAGACTATTGCGAAAGTTCTCCTTTTCCTGCATATTAGAACCAGCATCCTGAAGTTGAAGACTGGGCATGACCGGCTTCAGGAATTTGAACTCATTTGTCCCAGTACCTCCTGTCAGACACACCTCATACTGGTA